CTGCAGAGAGCAGAGCATGTGCAGCTGCCTGCTAGGGGCCCATCCGCCAGGGAGAGCACTCCCGCTCGGCCTGCTGCCCCATGGGCTTCCCGCGAGGGGCAGGGGCTGCCTGGGCCCTCCCTCTAATTGCCTTCAGAACAAGGCAGATGAGAGCTGCATGGAGCCTCTTCAGCACCCCCCACCCCCCGCTGCGTGTCTGGGGCCGGCTGGCTCACAGAGGTCGCTGAAGGTCGCATCTCGGCACGGATGGGTGGATCGATGCTTGAATCGATTTGGGAGCCGCTCCAGTGACGCATGTCCGCCCAGCACCAGGGCAGCTGGGATCCGGCCTGCAGCCGTGATGGGCACGGCGGGGAGCCCACCGCGGCTACCCTCTGTGTGAGGCTGGGCAGCACTGGCAGGGGATGTCGCTCTGGCAGGGAGAACCGGGCCAGTCTGGCCTGGGGTGAGCTCCAGATGAGAAGCTCCCTGCAGGGTGAGCTCGGCTCTGGGCCCAGGATGCCGCTGCAAGCCCAAGGGCTGCAGTCTCTGACCCTTGGCACCGTGGCCTTGCGGCACGGGGGGGACATGGGAATGCAGGAAAGTGACTTGCCAGAGTGGCCGTCCCAGGCCCAGTGTGAGGACCCGCCACTGCCCCGGTGAGTGGGGCTGTCGCGAGGGATTTCATGGGCACACAGCTGGGATTCCCCCGGCCGAGTGGCTTTCCTCCTTACTCTGCTCCCTTGGCATTGTCCTGGGGCTATGCACTTTCTCACGACACTATGGAAACGGAAGCCAGGCTGGGATCTGGCAGGGAGCAGATGGGAAAGCGGGAGCCGCAGGGGTGCTGGGCAAGGCCAGGAAACCTTCCTGACGTTTTCCCTGAGCGCGGTTCTGAGCTGCCCCGTTTCTGTCACAGCAATGGCTGGAAACCAGCTGGAGAGGGGCCTGGCGGGACCTGTGCAGGCTTTGGTGGAGCACAGGCTGTGGGGATGGCTTCCCCGTCACACAAGGTCAGCAGCCTCGCCGGGCCGTGGGTCCTTAGCTCGCCTTTCATGCTGGTGGAAGGTGCTTGGCACGACTCTGTGGCCCTGGGTCTCTTCCACTGCTGGAGAAAGGAGAACGAGCTCAGAACTAACCCCCCCTCCCCGCTGAGCGCGTGGCTGTGGCGCAGCCCTGGGGACGCACTGAGTGGGGGTGCAGTCAGGTACCACGAGGAGCCCGGCTGGGGGGGCTCTAGCAGGTGCACAGTCTGCAATGTCCACACTGCCAATAAAAGTCATGTTCGTAACCCCGTGAGCTACGCTGCAATTCGACGTGTCAGCCCCTGGAGCTGCTCTGATTAACTCCAGCTGCTCACCCGAGGGGACAGCGGAGTGCCGTGTTTTCCCTGCTGTTCTAACCCCAGTTGGCTCACGTGGGTTATGAACACACCTTTTATTTGCAGTGTGAATGTATCCTGTGAATCCAGACAGCCCTCGGTCTATCTCAGAGCGCCTGTAGCTCCCTTTCCCCGGCGGGGAGACCGTCTGTGCACCGTGCGCGTTGGTAAACATGCCGCTCCACTCAAACCCGTGCTGGTCCAGGGGCTCGTGCCAGATCTATTCCTCGACGGAGGCGCACGCCATCCTGCCTTGCCAGCACGGCGTGTTCTGCAGCGAGCATCGGGCACACAGGAGTCTGCCTGGCATTCCAGAGACGGCTAGAGCAAGGCTGTCAGGAGGGGTCTGCCGGGACCATGAGCTGCTCCCAGAGTCCGGATGGGCCCAGGACAGGGGATGCCCCCTCCCTGCCAGACCATTCACATTGGGTGTAGAAATGGTACCAGTGTGAAAGGCAGCTGTGCAGAGATTAAATACTCTCTGTGCTGAACTGGAGCGGGGATAACACCCAGCCAGGGGGGCCTGGCAGGCTTGGGTTGGTTTTTGCACCTACACATGGTTTGGGAGGTTAGAAGCCTTCAAATCAAATACTGTCCCACCTCCTACCCCAGCGCTGGCTTCTGGCCTGTGGGAGGGACCCAGCCGTTTGGAGCAAATATTACAGGGCTGGATTTTGCTCAGAGCCTAGACTCTGCCCTGGCATCTTGGCTGGAGACATCCCGGGCGGCGCCCATGCCAGGAGCTGGGTGTGTCTGTGACGGGGGAGCAGAATGGGCCATGAGCAAAGGCACAAGCTGTGAGCTGGAGAGGGGCTCTCCGGCCCCCCTGCTCTGGCGGTCCCTTGGGGTTTGCCTGCACCTGTCTGCGTTTGGTTTTCCTCGTGATACTTTGTTTTGTCGATGGCCATAAGGAAATTCAGCGGCGTGCAGGAAAAGCTAAACAAACCCGTTAGCTGACAGCCCTGCAGCTCTGCTGGCTTGTGCCTGGTCCGATCAGAGCTCACCAGATGAGCAGCCGCTAGCCAGGCCAAGGGGAGGAGACTTCTCCGGAGCACCCAGGTTCTGCAGAAGTGGTGTTGGTGCATCAGCTGGGGACACTGCTTCCTTGGACCCAGGGCCCCAGCCTGGTGCGAAGGAGACGCTGCCTTTCCAGTGAGTCGGGAAACTGATGCCCTGGCAGCACATGGCCATTAAAAACCCCAGTTCAGCTAATTAAATCCCACCCCCTTTGTCTGACTGTTTGCACCCGCTGGAGTTACAAATGGCTCCTAGGATGACTGGAAAGGGGAGTTAAGTGGAAGTCTTGTTTCTCTCTCCCGCCAGTCTGGGCCAAGCCCGGGTGGCTGTTCGGCTGATGCTCCACAGCACTGCCTGTCTCAATCACTGGGGGGATCGCTGGCAGGCACAGCTCCGAGGGGAACTCTCCCGCATGCTCTGCTCTCGCCCAGTAACACACCAGCGCAGCTGCCACTCTTGCCCAGTTTGGGGCCTCTCCTACTTGGCCCCGCAGAGCCCTGCAGAGGGCAGTTCTGTCTGCAGAGCCCCTCCCGGGGTCCGGAGGAGGACAGCAGGGGCTGCGAGGCGCTGCTATTGTTACTGCTGCTGCAGTGAAGAACTGGCAGGTGCATGGCCTGCCCCTTTACGGCTCATTGACCCGACCCGGCTGGGAAGGGGCCAGGAGTTCTGGGAAGGGCTGAGGATGCTCAGTCCCTCAGACCGTAGGAGCTGGGCTCCTACCGGGAAAGCTGAGAGCCAAGCTCAGGGTAGGCAGAGGAGCTGCTTTCTTTGGGTGGTTTTGCCTAAAGAATTGCTCTGAGCCCTGCGGCCCGGCTCAAGGTCTGTGCGCCTGGGCTAGCTGGCCGGCCACTTGCCCTGGGAGAGAGTGCAGACAGGTGATCAGCCCCAGGCACTGCGAGGAACCTGAGGCCAGGCTGGGTAGGTGCTGCTGCTACAGCCTCACGGTCTTCACTGTGTTTATCCTCCCAGCCCCCCGGGAGGCAGGGCCAGGCTGTTACCCCCGGGCAGATGGGAACTGAAGCACAGCGCCTAGGGTCCCCACAGGAAGCCTGTGGCAGAGCAGGGACTTGGACCCAGGTCATCAGGTGCTAGGCTGGGGTCCGTCCACCCACTCGCCCATGCCGAAGGACCGTTGGAAACGTCAGCAGGAGCCAGACCTGTGTCTGTGTGAAATGCCAGGGAAAGGCCCTGCGGCTTGGAAGCACTATTCTGCGCTGTGCCAAGGGTGCTGTCTGACCATGGCCCCCCGACACTGCTCCATGTCAGACCCCCCAGCGCGGCATCACCCCGTCACTCCGTGGGAACAGTCACCCCACCCTAGGCAGCGTGAGCTGCGTCCACACACAGCGTTGGGCTGCTTCCGCTGCCATTGCCTCTAAACTGATATGGTGGGGTAAAGGAGCAGCCCTTTGGCTCCGCAAAGCACCGTGCAGCGAGCCCAGCCGGGCAGAGGGGTGAGAGGCCGGCTGGCCTGGTGGGTAGGGCCCCGCGTGGGACTCGGGAGAGTGGGCGCAGGTCCCTGCTCTGTGAGCGTGGACCAGCTGCTGATTCTGTGCTTCAGTTCCCCACTTGCCCCCTGGGGCTCACAGCCCTGCCTCGGCCGGGGAGTGATGGGAAATGTGTCCCATGCGGCGAGGGTCTCGGATGTGACGGTCGTGGGGGCTGGAGAGCGGGGCAGAGCGTCACTTCCCATTCTTGGACAGGCTCAGCTGCGGCTCTGGGGAAGGGGGGGCGGATTTGGGGCTTTGAGCAAAGGGCTGGGGCAGCGGTTGTCTCACGCCGGGGGGTGTGAAATCCTGCCTGTTGTCCCCTGGAGCCCCACATCTGTGTCCGGACACGAACCGTGGGCCCCCACCTGGGGGAGGTGGATTTGCCTGTCACGGTCACTGGGGCAAGAAGGCTGCCATGCCTGGAACCACCATGTCATTACCCTGCTGCCAGGTGGTATCCAGCCCCCATGTCCCCAGCCCGGCCCCTGCTTCTCCAGGGGGCCACCCTAGGTCTTGTGTTAACTCCTCGCCTGCTGGTTCCAAGAGTGGGTCTGCCAGCCGACAGCTCTGCCGCCGGCCCCCCCGGCACGCTGGTTCCTGGGGCACGAGGCAGCCTGTGCCAGCCGTGCCCCGGGGGCGTGCCAGGGAGCGGCCATGGGCAGGAGCCAGCCGGGCACATGCTGGGCTGGAAGGAGTTAAAGGGAAATATTTGCAGAGAGCTGAACGTGCCAGCTGGCCCCTCCCTCCTCCCCCCAGTGACATCACGCGGAGCTGGCGAGCTGGGCTCGAAGCGGGTCCTGTGCCGGTTGCTGGCAGGGGAAGGAACTTCTGGGGCAGAGCAAGGCAAAGCCAAGCCAGCCACCGGAGCGGGGGGTGGGGGTGCACCTGAGCCTGCAGCCGGCCCCCTCGCCAGGAGCAGGCAGCGTGGAGAGGGGACACGCAGGGAGAGCCAGCCATGGCTGTGTGGAGCCGCTTCGTGGGAGCCGAGAGGCAGAGGGCAGCTGGGCGCAGCATGGCGAGGTGCCCACGCCCAACCCACCCTGGGCTGCAGCTCCACAGAGCCCCCTAGACCTAGGGGTGCAGCGGAAGGCGCTGTGGGGAGCTGGCCACGGACGCAGTGCTGGCGGTGCCGCCGGGCGGCCCATGGGAGTCTCGGGCCAGGCCCCCGCGCTAGAGGAGAAGACTGGCTCTCCCTGCAGGTGTGCAGGGGCCTGGGCCTGCTGGCGTGGGAGCAGCAGGAGGGCACGGGACAGGATGAGCCTGCCCACAAGCTGTGGCTCCGTGGCCTTGGCAGATTGTGCCCTTATGGTCTGCAACGGCCACCTGGCCGGCTCGCCCCGCGCCGTCAACCGGCCCATCGACATCGCGCAGAAGCACAGACGGTAACTGCGCCGCTTGCCGTGTGCCCACTGGGCTCAAATCCCAGGGCCAGCCCAGCTCGGGCCAGCCGGCTGCCGACACTGCCAGCCCATAGACCTCAGTGCAGGCTCCGGCGATGGGCTGTGTGCGAAAGAACCAGCCTGGGGACAGGGGACCCCATTGCTTGTTGGCTTTGGGGCTGGAGCCTGCTGCCTCAGTGCGCACTGTAATGCCAGGGGCTCCAACCCGAGTGGCTCCCTCTGGCTGTGCTGCCTTTGAGGCACTTGGGGGCCAGCTGGGGCCAGTCCCTGGCTCCAGCCCCTCCTGGGACTGATGGGGCAAGGAGGCAGAGCGGGGGCTGGCTGCCCGTTAGCGGGCTCCAGGCTCGTTCGGAGGGGAGGAGGCGCAGGGGGTAACGTGTGTCGAGGGCTCTGCACCCAGCTCCCCCAGCCAGGTGTGACCTGGACTGTGTGTGTGGGGGGGAGGGGCAGGGCAGCGGTTGCTGCGTGGGGCGAGAGCAGGGCGTCTGGGCACGTTTACAGCCCTGGAAAGCAACCAATGGGCACAGGCAGGACATGGCCCCCCTGGCCCTTCCCACCCGAGCTGCAGCAAAGCCCATCCCCTGACCCTGCTTGCTCAGCCCCACATCCTGCGGCGCAGCCGGTCCCCACGACTGGTTGCTGGGACGTGCCGGCTGCCTTTCCGCATGCCCCGGCTAGCGCCGTGGGAACGCTGCAGGCTGAAGGGAGCCGTGGCGGGGCGGGGAGCAGGGCCTGGATGGACGCCCCGTTAGTGACAGAGGATTCCCAGGGTGGTCAGCGTGCTGGGCAGGGGCTGTGCCGTAGAGTCCTGCACTGCACACCTCTGAGGAGGCAGGGACTGAAGGTCCAGCCGGTGTCTCTGAGCCCATGGGAAGCCAGGGAGCTGGGGAGGGCAGTGCCCACCGGCTCTGAGTTCAGGTGGGGTGACGCCTTCACCGAGGGGAACGTTCCCATCAGGCGAATGTCTCCATGGGGACAGAGCCCAGATTTCCCTGGGCTATCTATAGGACTGGCATTGTAGCCCTGTCCTCCCAAGTGCTTGCAACCCCTCCCAGCTGGGGCTCAGCTGCAAGTGTTATCGGCATACTCCGCTCGTCGCTAGTGCTTTGTGGAAGTGATGGAGTCGAGGGCTTTTTCCATTGACAAATGGGTAAATTCTGTATCGCCGGCAGAGCAGGAGCTGGGCCTTCTCTCTCCGCTGCTCCCTGACACCCCCACTGCTCCTCAGCAATTCTCAGCCCATCCTGGGGCCCCCTCCATCTCCCAAACCAGCTGACGCGAGCCACTCCACGCTGCCGTGCCTTTTCCACCTCCCAGCATCCTTTGGAGGGGGCAGGCGTCCTGCGAGGAGGACGAGCAGCTCAGGCCAAAGCAAATAATTCCGTTGTCAGCCTCCAGGAAATGGCCGTGCTGCTGAAAAGCAGCCCCGGGCCTTGGCATTGCACCGTCGAGGGGGTGGGGACGGTTCTCAGCTCAGCTCCCCAGCGGGGGCTGCGTTTCCATGTGCAGCTCGAGCCATAAACAAGGGTGGGTTCCACCCGAGCACGAGAACTGGAGCGGGCGTTGCCCGGGGGATGTGTTGGGAGAACGGGGTGACGGTAAGGAAGGGACAAGACCGGCTGAAGGTGGAGACGTGCTTCCCAGCAGTGAGATGTTGAAGGGCTGAGCTGGGCAGGCTAGAGCCCAGTGCCCTGGCCTCGGGGCTGAGCCAAACCAAACCCAGCCGGAGCTCGCCAGCTCCCTGGAGAGTTTGTCCCACGTTACCCTGCTGCCCAGCTCCCTGCCTTGGGACAGGCAGTGTGGGGCGTGCAACAGACACACAGGTTCCTACGAACCCCAGTGAACCAGCCCTCTGGATGGTCCATGGCTCGGCCAAGCCCATTGCTCCCTCCCTCCCCCCCCCCTCCCGGCTGTGACCTTCCTGCAGGGAAGGAGACAAGGGCGCTGATTAGCCGAGCTGGGCCAGTCGATGGGAATGGGGGCTCCTGACTCCATCCCAAAGTGGGGGCAGCAGCTGCTGCTGGAAAATCCTATTGAGCAGCTGTTAGAGCAGCATTCGGCTGCGCTGACCTCATCTTCCCAAGGTCGGCTCTGCTGCTGCAGGTGGCTCCAGCATGGGGGATGTGCTGGTACAGTGGTGTGGCTTGGGCAGCGCTACCAGGACCATCGCCTTTGGTTGGGCGGGGGCAGAGCTGGGGCTCGCAGCACCGAGCCCCTAATTCGTGGTGACCGGTGGGTCGGGTCCCTGCTCCGTCCACAGAGCCGGGCTCTTTGCAGCTGTCTCTAGCGGGGATCGTGGGGGCCTGGTGCCCAGCCTGCAGGACTGCCAGGAGTGTCTCCATGGAGCGGGCTTTGGACGGGGCCCTTGGAGAGCTGCCTTCTGCAGGGGGCTTAAAGCACATCCCAGATGTTCATGAGTGGCGGGTGAATCTTACTACCTCTGTTACACAAACCGGGAAACTGAGGCAGAATGCGGCCTAGTGAGTCAGTGGTAGAGCTCGTAATAGGACCCAGGAGTCCTGGCTTCCAGGCCCCTGCTCTGTGCACTTGACGGCACTTCATTCCCTCTTGCTGCACAAGCACTAGATGAAAGCTGTATCTGGCTGGAGTCTGGCTGCACAGAGCCCTTCCTGGCCTCCCCACCAGCCTGAGCTGCCCCAGCACGGCTCACGGCCCTGCGCTAGGGGGTGGCAGCGGTGCTGGCTGCTGGCCGAGTGCAGGAATGAGGTTCAGGCAGGGGGGAGCAGCACGTAGCAGGCCCGGGGGCCAGGCCTGGTCCCCGTTTGTAGCTCTGTAAGAACCGGCCCATTCAGCAAGGCACAGGCCTGGGCACCGTCCCCCAGCGTCACTGCATGGTCCAGATCTGCACCCACCCCACTGCTGCTCCCACAGCCAGGACCCCGCTCCCCTCGGATGAAAACAATCCGGTTCCTCTGCCAGAGCGGAGCCCACCCTGTGAGATGGGCAGGATGCCTGCCCTGCCCCAGGGGGCCCAGAGATGGGCCAGTGGCAGTAGGGCTGGGGGGTTGCAGCGCTGTGGGGGGTAGGGATTAGATGGGGCACTGCAGGGGGCTGGGCCTGGAGCTCTTAGCCCCACGTGTCTGGGCCTTATGCTGCAGTCCTCTGGGTGCTGGGGCGCTGGTGTGGGGCTGGGAGTAGGGTTGCTACAAACCGGGGTGCTCTGCAATTCTAGGGTTACACTCGAGAGCTAGGGCTGCCCACAGCATCTCGTTGCCATGGGGGTCGCCCGCCGTGGGGGTATGGCCCACAGAGCCAACAGCAAGCGGGCGTTGTGCCAGTCACCCCAGCGTGCCTGGCTGCCTGTGGGGCAAGGCTGGGTCTGCCCCACAGCTCTGTCCCCGATTGCAGTTCAGAAACCCCTTTCCCTGCCCCTTCTCAGGCCTTTCATCGGCCTGCGCAGCACAGCCTGTGCCCACGTTCCCTCCCCTTCCCCAGGCTCCTGGCCTGGCCCCGTATGCAGTGAGCGGGGTTCAGAGCTGGGAGAAATTAGCCAGGAGCGTCCCAGAGCAGCTCGCGCTGGGCTCTCTGCCTCCCCTCTCCTGAGCCTTTCCTCCTTCCCTCTCTCTGCAGCTTTGACATTGAAAATGGCCTTTCATCGGGGAGGAGCCCGCTGGACCCCCAAGCCAGCCCCGGCTCCGGCCTGGTCCTGCAGGGGAACGTCCCTCACAGCCAGCGGCGGGAGTCCTTCCTCTACCGCTCCGACAGCGACTATGATCTGTCTCCCAAAGCCATGTCCCGGAACTCCTCCATCGCCAGCGACCTGTAAGCACCAGCCCTGCCTCAGCCCCGTGCAGCCCCTCTGGGACGCCCCTCCCTGCGGGGAATTCGTCCGGGGCTGGCAGGCCGAGACACCCGGCCAAGGGCCAAAGGGACTGGAGCAGGCCCTAGCCCTAGTCTGTAGTCCAGCCAGACAAAGCTGAAGTCTTCAGGTCTGGTGCCCTCATCCTCTGGAGATGGGAGGGGAGCTCACGTGTGGGCCTGGCGCTGAAGGGAGCAGAGGCACCGGGGCACCAGGCTGTAGCTGTGGATCAGGGCTAGGGAACAGCGGGAGCTGGAATTGCATTGCTCGGGGGCATCGTGCCAAGGGGCAGCCAGCGTAACTCAGGGGCCAGGCACCATAGCTTGGGCCCATTCAGCAGCCAGGCCAGCCCCAGCTGGGCGCCCCAGACTCCCAGCTCACATGCCTGGTCTCCCTTGATCAGGGTGGATCCCGTCCTGGGCAGAGGGTGGTTCCATGCCAGCACATCACTCACCCCCTAATTTGTGGTGCCCAGGCCCTGGGCCAGCCTTGTGCACGGGGTGCCCACCCAGCCCCTCCCTCACTGCCCACACGGGGCCTCATGTGCCGTTTTGCCCTTGCAGGCATGGAGAAGACATGATCGTCACGCCCTTCGCGCAGGTAGGGGTCTCTTCTGCCCTGAGGCTGGGGGAGCTGGGAATCGCTCTGGAGTTGGATCTAAGCCAAGTGCAAACCCCATGCTCCCCACAGACAGGCCCGTCTCCATCCAGCACCCACCACATCATACCGCCGCTGCACAGCCCCTACGCTCCCATAGACACGTGTGCCTGGAGCCAGGCAGCTTGGGGCACCGTTGTGCCAGGCACTGCACAGACACGCAGCAAACGTCCATCCCTGTGTTGAACGGCTCCCGCTAGGGAAAACTCTGCCTCCTGCAGAATGGGTCCCAGCCGCTCAGTCCGGCCCTCTGGGAAGGGAGGATCCAGACAGACAGGACAGAATGACGGGCACAGCACAGAGCAAACACCCACCCCATCCAAACACCAGCTTCTCCCCCACCCCCTAAATACTTAGGCACCGTCCTGGCACACGCTTCCAGAGCTCAGAAAGGCCTTTGGGGCGTCCCCTCTCCTCTCCGCCTCCACCCACCTCCCAGGCCTGGGGCAGATCCTGCCCGTGAGCTCTGGCACTGCACCCCCCACTCCCCCCGTAAGGGGCTGCTGGTTCTGCCGTCGGTGTGGGGCGGATTGTGAATTCCAGTCTGAGCCCTGACTCCAGGGTAAGTCTCCGATTCCAGGCTCCCAGCCATGGGGCTCCCCTGGGGTACTGCTGAGCTGTCTGGCTCCAGGCCCGCGCCCAGGATCTTTCTTGTGCTGCTTGCGCTCAGCAGCTGCGTTCCTCTCCCACAGGTCCTGGCCAGCCTGCGCACCGTCAGGAGCAACTTTGCCATGCTGACGCATCTGCAGGACCGCGTGGCTAGCAAGTGAGTGGGGAGCAGCCAGCAGCAGAGGGGTTCCAACATGCATGCTGGGGGGCCCATCCCAAGGGGCGAGGTCCCAAGGGCAAGTGGGGAGGATCCCCCAGACCCAAGAGCCCAGAGCAAACGTTCCTGGGGACAATGGGCTGGGAAGGGGAGATGGGGGAGAATCTGATTCCCGTGTACACAGCAGAAGCTGCTCCCCAGTGTATGGGGCATGGGGAGCTGGCCTTGGGGAGGGGACTGTGTGTTTGAGTCAGGTGCACCCCAGCAATGCCATGCTCAGCTGCTGCCTGTCCCACGTGTCTTGCAGGAGAACTTCTAGCAGCAACCCGCCATCTGTGTGCAAGGCCAGCCTGTCGGGTAAGTTCCCTGCGGGGGCCAGGCTCACTGCAGGGCTGTCCCGGGGCGCAGGCGGCCGCATGGAGGCAGCCAGCAGTAGCTGGTTGGAGCTGACGGGAGGGTGAGACGGACCCTCCCTAGGATCTCTCTTCCCGACTGGCCTCCCCCCAGGATCCCTGTCTCCCAGCCCCGTCAGAGCCGAGGCCCTGGGTTCCCCAGCAGGATGGACGTGAATCTCCGGCCTCAGCCATCACCCACCTGCCCTGCTGAGCCCGGGGCTGGGATGTCAGAGCAGCTCCCTGCTGTCCAGTGCCAGGGCTGCAGCTTGCCTGGGTACTGGTGAGAACGGTGGACGTGGGCAAGTCATCTGCTCAGGTGCCCAAGGCAGCTCCGCTTGCTCCCAGCTCTCCGCAAATAGCCCAACTGAGCTCCAGGGCCATGCACAGCCTGTCTCTGAACTATGCTGCAGGGGCACCGTCCCCTGCCATGGGCACCGTCATGCCTGGCCCCCCTGACGGTGTCACTGGCCCCGGGAGCCACACCCCAGGAGGCGCTGCAATGGCAGCTGCCAGGAGATGGGACCTCCCGTGGCCAGAGGCCTGTGGGAATGAAGCTCCCCTCCCCAGCCCGGTCCCCCAAGGGGTGAGCGTGCCATGGAGATATCCTATCCTATCTCCTAGAACTGGAAGGGACCTTGAAAGGTCATCGAGTCCAGCCCCCTGCCTTCACTAGCAGGACCAAGTAGACTGATTTTGCCCCAGATCCCTAAGTGGCCCCCTCAAGGATTGAACTCACAACCCTGGGTTTAGCAGGCCAATGCTCAAACCACTGAGCTATCCCTCCCCCCCATGGCTCTGGCACGGCCCCTCCTGATCCATGTCGGGTTTTCGCCTGCTCCCTCCTGTCTGGCTCCTCTTCATGCCGCAGCAAGGATGGAAAGTCTCCTATTGACGTCAGACGTTCCATTAATAAAACTCTCTGCTCGTGTCTCCAGGCCTGAGCTCCAGCCCCGGCGGGAGGCCTGCCGCCTCCAGCTGGGCTGCTGGGTGGGCCCTGCCCCTGCTTCCTCTGACCCCGGCCAACCCGCAACACACAAACAAACCTGACTGCAGCTGGCTTCAGCCTGGGGCGGGAGCGTGGGGGGTGCTGACGCCAGGTGGGGGCCAGAGGGGCACCCCTCAGCCAGCCAGTGGGGAACCTGGGCACCTTTGGGTGGAAGCAGGGCATAAACCCCCTCATCCCAGAGCCTGGCAGCCCTGCAGAAGTCTGTGCCCCGCTAAAAGGCCGAGCACTTCTCCAGGCTGGCCTGACCTTACTGGGTAGGGCAGGGGGCGTGGGCATCGCCCTCCCTGGGGGGCTGGATGCGAGGGTGTCCCAGGACATCTCTGCTATAATATGGGGCTGCTGTCTGGGGCAGGGTCATGAGGCCCGATATAGGGCCCGATCCTGGCAGAGGGGCCAGTGCCTGCTAAGCTTCCTGCCTGGACTTGGGGCCCGGCCCCATGCGCCTCGGGCATCAACGCCGGGGCAGCCTTGCACACCCGAGCTGGCCTGGGGACTCTGATGACACAAGTCTGTCAAGCTCCAACGGCGGAAGTTGCAGCGAGCCCAGTTCAGACTGGGATTAAGGCACAATGAGCGGAATTAGCCCTGGGCTGTGCCGGGGTCTCCCTCGAGAGGGATGGTTTTTCTGAAAGCTGTACCCTGGCTCCCACCGGCCTTAATTCAGGGCAGGTGGTCAGACAATCACAGCCCCTCTGCCCTCAGAACCTCGCTAGCAGGGCGGCCAGGGACATTCACCCCATGGGCCAGGGCTGCCCAGAGGAAACGGCAGCTTGGCCAAGCCGCACTGTGTGGACTGGGCTCGGCTCCCGTCCCCGACTCCTGGGGTGTGCGGTGTGGCCAGGGCTTGGAAAAACCAGCCACTTGGGCCTAGAAAACCCTGTTGTTTCCTGGCAGAAAGTGCAGCAATTCCCCCAGCCAGGCTGGGGTTCGTCTCCCCTCAGCTCTGTGCCACCAGGCCCCGCGGTGGTGCCCGGGTCAGCTTCTCGGACAGGCTCACAGCAATGTCCGGGTCCTGGCACCGCGCCGCTGGGGGGCAGGCCCAGCTCCAGGGCAGCTCTAGGGACGATGCCGCTCACAAGCTGTGGTGTCTGAGCCTGGTGATTGCCTGGTAGCCGCTGCCTGCTGCAGCCCAGGGAGCAGAGCTCCCTACAGGCGTCATTATCATGTCTGACCCCAAATCCCCCCCGAGCCCCAGTCCTGCACCTTCCCTTGGCACCGAACCCGTCAGGCTCAACCCCTGCTGTCGCCATGGCAACACAACAAATGGCTGCAACTTCCACCCGATATTTGCTATTTGTGCTTTATGTAACGAGCCGGCCCTGCCAGCACCCCCAGCTCGGCTTCCCCTCCAGCCATGCGCGGCCAGCAGGCAGGCTGAGCGCAGCACGGCTCGGCTGGAGAGGGCAGAGCAGGCCAGGCAGTGGGAGAGAGAACTTCAGGGCTAGAGGCTGCTACGCTATCCGGGCACCAGTCTGTGAAGCGGAGGCACCTCTGGGCCCAAGCTGTAAATGCTGGGAGCAGAGCGGCTGCAGTGCACGGCCCAGGGGGCATGGACGTGATGCTGAGACCCTGGGGCGTGCTGGCATGGCCTCTGGCCAGCGGGCCAGCGAGCACCCTCCCCAATGCCACCTGCTTCTCTGTCCGCAGAGGATGCCTGTCAGAAGCTGGCAGTCGAGACCCTGGAAGAGCTGGACTGGTGCTTGGACCAGCTGGAGACCCTGCAGACCAGGCATTCTGTCAGCGAGATGGCCTCCAACAAGGTAAGAGACGCAGCAGCTCCTCGTGGGAGCCTGCGATCCCTGTCAGACCCTGACAGGAAACAGAGACACTGCTCCTGTCTATAAACCCCCATCCCAACCATCCTGTGGGCCACAGCTGTGCAGAGAGAGCCGGTGGACAGTCCCAAGAACCCAGGGACAAGCCCCGACCTGCAGAGCCTGGACGCAGGGGGTTGCACTCCTCTGCCCCCCCCCCCCCCCCGCCCCAGGAATGCAGCCTGCTCTGGGCTGGGCTGGAGCGTGGCAGCTGTTTGACACACAGCAGATCAGGACAGGAAGTGGAGAACACTCTAGCCAGCTGACCTGGGAAGTTTTAGAAACTGGTCCCCAGACCAGAACCGTGGGGCTAGCACTTTCCGCTGGGCGCTTGGCAGGTTATGGCCAACATTGTCAATAGAAGCTGCTGGTTTAAGTGCCTCTGGGGTTGGTAGCTGTAGTTCCAGCAGAGTCCAAGGCAGCTACGGGTGAGTAGCCCTCTGGAGACCTGGCTCCATGCAACTCCCGCGGGGCCCAACTCAGCATAGGTGCCTGCTGCTGCTCTGTGTGTCAAGGTAGCGCCCAGGTGCCCCAGTCGCTGGCCAGAACCCATTGCGCTAGGCGCTGCACAACCCCAGACCAGAGACACTGCCCCACATGACAGTGACGCTACCGGGCGCACCCCAGCGCCGGACTCGGCCTCGTTGCCTCCTGTGCGTGGGCTCCCACTGTACGGATGGGGGGGCATGTGGGTAACATTTCACCACCAGACACCGTGTGTGGCCAGGGGTGCGCTCCCTCTGGGGCGGAGCGCAGGGGGCTCCTGGCAAGAGGGAATCTGCTGCTTCAGAGCCCGTGACCAGAGTGGCAAGCAGCAGGCTCGGCAAGGAGCCGAGCTCTGGGAGTCCCATCGCACCCTGAGCTCAGGAGTGACGTTCCCCGTTCCAGGGCTCGTCTCTGACCGAGGCAAGTCAGGTTCTGCGCTGACACATTCTTCGCTCCCAGATCAGATTTGCCTTTGGGGGACAATAGCTAACGGGGTCCTTCTGTGGCAGTGAGCCCCGCTCGGAGGGCTGGGCGTTGCTGCTCCGCTCGCTGACTGCAGGCCCAGGCGGGCGGAGGGAGGCGTGAGGATGTAGTCAGATTTATGGTTCTTACTTTGATTGTGTGGGCTCTGGTGCCCTTCTCATCGGGTTCAACACACAAGGGCTGCCCGTACACGCAGCCCCGCCCCAACCCGCTCGTGCCGCAGCAGCCAGCGAGAATCTGGGCTGTGCAGTGGGCCTGGAAGGTTAAACCGGGGCTCTGGCAAACCGAGTGCCTAACCCGAGCGAATGCCCTGCCCAAAGCTCCTGGCCCTAGCGAGGGGTCTCAGCTGTAGGCCCTGCTGGTCTGAGCCGTGGCGTCCCGGCATAGGGAGAGTGGGTCCGGATCCCAGGCCATCGAGCGAGGGCTCGGAGCTTAACGCCAACACGTTGGGAGCCAGCCCAGCCCCTAGAGAGCTGGTCTAATGCACTAGCTTAAGCCTGCGACCTCAGTCAGGCCGTCACACTCAGTCACCAGGGTGTGCTGAGCAACCCAGCAAGAGCCAAAGGGCTGCCCCCTGCTTTCTGGAGAGAGGGGAGCACCAGGGCGGTGCTGGTGCGTAGTCACTAGGGCCTTGTTGGCACTGTCAAGAACTGCACCGGAAGTCACCAGTGCGGCAATGGAGGAAGGGTGGCCGCGTGGCTGAGGCACTGCTGTGGGAGTCGGGGGAGCTAGGCACCGTTCCCAGCTATTGCGCTGACCCCCTGGGTGACTTTGGGCAACTTCCTGGATCTCTCCATGCCTGAGTTCACCACCTGTGAATGGGAACAATGATGCTGCCCTGCCTCCAGCGGGGCCATGAAGATAGGCCCATAGACACTTCGGAGGTGCTCAGATTCTTCTGACGTGCGTATCGAGGCTCGGGTGCCCTGACAGCTGCCTAGTCCTGCCCGGAGAGGGTTGGATGTTGTCTCCACTGTCGTCCTGGAACTTGTGAGTGCTGCTGAAATGTGAGGCGGAAAATCCTGCTCTCCCCCGGAGGGACCTGCCTGGCCAACTGCGCTTGCAGAAGCCAAGCCCACGAGCCATTTGGTTCCTCGTCCTTCCGCGCTGACGAATGTTCGGAGTGCGATAGAAGGCAGCGGAGACGCTCGGGTGTGCTCAGCGCCAAGTTCTCGGCTTACGTCACCCGCTCCTTCCTTCCTGTTGTTGTGCAGATGTTGCTGCGGCAGCACGTGCTGCACAGCTCGATCCGCGCCTCGGCTTCTTCTCCGGCTCATTTCGCTTTTCAGGAGCTTGACTTGCCAAGTGGCTCAGGACTGCGGGCTGGGCCTGCCTTAGAATCGTTCTGATCTGCGGGGGGAGAGAGCCCCGATACACACATGCACCGTGGGGGCCAGGCTGTAACCGGGAACAGACTGTACCCCAGGCTGCGTTATACACACACGTTGTCTCTCTCGCCAAGAGCCGAGGGCCTGGTAAAAGGAATCCCTTCGCCCAGCGCAGTCCAGTACCCGCAGTCCAGCAGCTCTCTGCCCATTGTACATTGGGGGGTGCTGAGAGCCATTGACCCAACTAAAAACGAGGAGTCCTTGTGGCACCTTAGAGACTAACACATTTATTTGGGCATAAGCTTTCGTGGGCTCAAACCCCTTCATCAGCCCAAATAAATGTGTTAGTCTCCAAGGTGCCACAAGACTCCTCGTTGTTTTTGCTGATACAGACTAACACGGCTGCCCCTCTGAAACCTGTCACCATTGCCCCAACTGTAAACCCTGCATATAACAGAAACAATTTCAAGCCAGGGGTGCACCCCCAGCCCCCCTATGCCCCTGGTCCCACCTTGCCATCCTGAGCTGCCCCCACCTCGAGGACTGGGCCCCATTTCCTGCACGCAGGGACAGAGGCGAGAGCTGCCGCCGTGACAGCCCGGGACCCCCCCCCCAGCCCTCTCCCCGCCTGTCCTGACCGCTGCGCCAAGCCACGCTCCATCCCCTGGCCCGGCTCTGAGATGGGGGCTGCCTTGCAGCACAGGAAGGGTTAAAGTGGGGCTCCATCGGCTGGGGCTCAGGCAGCCAATGGGAGTGCAGGGCTGGGTCCTGCCCCTGCCGCGGAGCCCGCTCATTGGGCGGCAGCACGCTGGGGCGGGGCTACCTGCCACTGCGGGAGCAGCCCTGGGGTGCCCGGGACATGAGCAAGGAGCCCGAACCCCCACAGCCTGCAACGCTGCATCCGGCGCGTCAGCATCCTGCTCCGATTCGTAGGGCATCAGGGGTTCGGCTAATCCCCCACCACCACCCCCGGCCCCCCGGTTCCCAAAGGGCATCCCTGGCTCAGCCCCAGGCTCCTGGCCGCACAGTGCCAGCCTTGCTGGGGGGAAGCTGAGATGCCTGACGCCAGCCCTTGGTCCCTGCATCCTGGGGCTTTATCAAGGTAAGTGGGCGAGCTGGCCCCAGGCCCAGGGGCTTGTCACCCCAGCAAGCTCCCCTGAGTTCCCTCCGCGCGGCAGCCTGGCCCGGGCCCACCCTCTGGCTCTCACACCCCAAGCAGGGTGCAGCCTGCTCTCGCTGGGGCCAGGCTGCATCCCCAGGCACCCTTGTGCCGGAGAGCCCGTGTCTAGCGTATCCCCCATGGCAGCAGTTCGGGGATGGGGCGTCGGAGCCCTCCTGCAGCCCAGTCCTTACAGCGCCAGCTCCCTTGCAGCGGGGAGGGAGGCAGGTGTTTCCAGCCGAAGGTTCCCGAACTGCAGCCCTGGTGCCCCTGGCTATGCACTGAGGCGCAGGCGCCCACCTGGGAATGCAGGGCCGGCTGTATTTCCCATTCGGTGTCCTGTGCGGAGCCCTGATCTGCTCCGAGCGATCGCCTCCAGCCCTGGCCCTTGCTGATGGCTTTAGCTGCCCCAGTCGTGTTTTGTCTCCTGCCCCAGAACCAACGTCACCCCCTGGAAATTCCCCCGGTGAGCTCAGCCAGTGGCCTTCGCAGGGTCCCTGCCGGGCACCCTCTCCAGGGTGGCATTGAGCCTGTGCCCGTGGCAGTGGCTCCTGCACGCCCTGCTCCTTTCACACGCACATGGTGCTGCATAGTGGGACTGATCCAGCGTGTTGTGAGTGTGCCACGTGCAATGTGTGTCAGACGTGATGGTGTGAACGCAGGGTCCAGCCCACTCACGGGGAAGGAAATTGGTTTGAAAGCAGCCTGTGATCAGAGCAATTTGCTTCAGTTGCACCTGCTGGGATATTCCCCAAGAATGAGCATGGAAAGGGGCAAAACCCAGATGCAGCAAGTTCATGTAACAGCCCGTGGTCACGTCCATGCAGCTCGCACCTCTGTGGGCTGCGTCTCTGCGTTTACATGCTGGTGCCGTGCTGCGGCACACGGTCTGGTGTAGTGCGCACTGGAAGGCCCAGGTCATTACGAGCACGTTATTATAAACCCCGTGAGAGCCTCCCAAGGCAGAGTGCTGCAACCCCCTGGGAAATTAATTCCTGTCACCATCCCCAGAGCCTGCTTGGTGCTTCCACTCCACGCCGTCCCCATCCCGCTGGGCAGGGCTATGGAGGCTGGGGCGGTGACTCCTGCTCGGGTCTCCTGGCCGGGTTGCTAATGGGCACCATTGCTTGTCTTTGCAGTTTAAAAGGATGCTGAATAGGGAACTGACGCACCTATCCGAAACCAGCCGCTCTGGCAACCAGGTGTCTGAATACATCTCCAGCACCTTCCTGGGTGAGTAGCAGGGCTGGGGGATGCCGCACTGCCCCGTCCATACACAGTGGCACTTTCCTTTAGAGAATGTGATGTCTGGAGTTGAAGGACCAGTGAGAAGCCAGGGGGCAGCTGGACCAAAGATTTTCTCCTGTGCTGCACTGTCCTCAGGCAGTGTCTCAGCGGTGCCCCATCGTGTGCTAAGCAAAGAGACTAGCCCCAGCCACGTGTGGAAGCCCGATTGTCTCTAAGGCTTTCCTAGACTGAGCAAAACCCAGGCAGAAAACATGGAGGGGTATTGATGGTGCATGCGGTGGAAGAGCCCTGCCTGTTGCATTTTGTTTCTGAGTGGATTCTGTGTAATCTCTTTGGCGCAGGGTGTGTTTGCAAAGCACCAGGCACAAAGGGGCTGGGGCGAGCCGGGTGTGGCCGTAATCCCATGGATAATGATTGTTGTGGGGGTAGCTAGGGGAAGATGCTGCACCCAGCAATGCCGTGTCAGCCAGCTAGGGAAGTCGTGTGACACATCACTAAAAAGACAGGGCATGCCACAGTCTCCTTCTGGGTCCTGCATCATGCCCTGGCTAAGTACGTCAGCCACTTCTTCCCAATGACGGGGCCGTGGGAATGGCTGCCCACAAGGCCTCCCCTTTCTCTCCTTGTTACCCCACAGAGACAGGCGAAGTGCCCTTATCTGCCCTCGTGATGTCTTGCCGGGTGACTGGGGGAATGTGGTCTCTGCTGTATGTGACGGGGCTGATTAAAGTGGCAAAAGCCCACTCCTGGGCCCCCTCCAGCCCTGTTCAGAATCGAGGGGCAGGCAGGAGGGATTTCCCTGCGCCCCGGGGCTTGCTTGTACTCTCTGCATGTCAGTGTGGTCGGGGTGGGGTCCAGCAGCCTTGCAGTGGCCAAGGTGTGGCCAGCGTTTAGGAAGGGCTTGGTTAACTGCAGTCCAGCCTGTCGCCCACGGCTAGAGCCACTCTGCCGGGCTCTCCAGCTGGAGATAAGGAGCCGGCCACGTTTCTAGTGCCACAAAATAGTGATACAGAGGCCAGAAGATACATTCCTCAGCATGCGCTGATGTCGCTGCTGCCAGCCCCCTGCTTCCAAGAGGGGAGGTTTGCCCGGTAACGGAGGGTCTGTCTGCAGAGCACTTGGGCGTGGGACTGCAGCACGCGTCGGCATGCCCAAGAGCACCAGAGCCGTGGTAGCTGGGGGGTGCTATCGCCCTGAGGATGTACCCAGCATCCTGGGGGCCTGCCACCTGTGCTGCTCCATCTTCACTGCTGCTGTTACTGGAGTTAGCCAGATCACAGCGAGCTTGGTATGCTCACGTGCTGCAGATCGGAGAGCAGGGCGGACAGACCATTGAGATATGGCTACACCAGCAGTTCTCAAACTGTGGGGCGGGGCTCTGTTCTAATGGGGTCGCCAGGGCTGGCATTAGACTTGCTGGGACCTGGGGCTGAAGCCCTTGGGCTTCGACTTTGGCCTCCCCACCCAGGGCAGTGGGGCTTGGGCAGGTTCAGACTTTGGACGTGTAGTGATTTTTGTTGTCAGAAGGGGGTCGCGGAGCAATGACGTTTGGGAACCGCTGGACTACACTCCGAGCTGGGGGAGGGTCCCAGCTCAAGGAGACGTGCTAGTGCGTGAAGAGAGTGTAGCCGGGGCGGCGCAGGCTCGCTGGGCCGAGTACATACCCCGTCCCGCTGGCCGCGCGGCTGCAATCAGCACTAGTGCGGGGGAGGCTCCTCCAGCCCCAAGTGCAGGCGTAGGCGGAGCGTGTGAACCACCAAACAAGTGACCTTAACGCAGGGCCTGTGCTCGTTAGCTGCATGCTCCTGACACGGCCACTCATCCTGCCGCTCACTCCTTTGCCGGGCCCCGGTGAGCAGGCAGCAAACGCTGCTTGGAGCAGCTGCACGCCACAGGCCAACGCCGGTGCTTACACAAATCCAACTGTGTCGACAGGCAGAAAAAAACACAGGACTTTTCGGGTGACCGGAAATAAGGGCCCGGGGCACCAGGCCCTCACTGGAGAAACTGGGTCTGTCCCAATAAACCAGAGTGGCGGCTGCGTTAGGGTCACCACACAGTGGTGGTTAATCTCCAGCGTCAGACTGTCTGTTGGTCACGCTGAAGCTCACACAATCTGGGCTTGTACACGGGGCGACCGACTTGCCCAGGCTGCTGCCAGCCTAGGGCCTTTGGCTGAGTGATGGTGAATAAAGCAGCTGAGAGTTTCCCTGTTCTGGAGTCGGAGGGGGCAGGAATCCCATGTGCTTTGGGGCGACAGGCAGGCAGGGGCTGGGTGCCAGAGCGGCACCATCCCGTCCCCAGGAAATGGAGCAGTTCGTCAATGCTCAGCGAGAAGAATCGGCTTAGGTGTCGCAGCCCCCCGGGACAGGACAAGGCTGCGATGCCTGGCACTCGCTGTTGGCATGGAGCTTGGGGAAAGCCCAGCACCCAGATGGAAATTGGGGTCCTGCTGGTGTCACGGAGTGGGGGGACGTCAGGGCCCTGCACCCCTCTTCCTGCGATTCACCATGACTCTCAGCCAGCCAGTAAAATGAAAGGTTTATTGGGCAGTAGGAACGCAGTCTAAAACAGGGCTTGTAGGCACAGCCAGGACCCCTCAGTCAAGTCCTTCTGGGGGGTTTAGGGAGCTTAGACCCCAGCCTTGGGGTTCCCGGTGTTCCACCACCCAGCACAAAACTGAAACTAAAAACTCCTCCAGCAGCTCTCTCCCCCTCCCCCCAGCTCCTCCTCTCCTTTGTCCAGTCTCCGGCCAGAAGGTGTCACTTCTCCCACCCCCTCCTGGCTCAGGTTACAGCTCAGGGATCTTCCGTCAAGGGAAGTCCCCCATCCCCAGTGCAACTCCCCTGCAACATTCCCAGGTCAAATCTGCCTGCTCCCTGCTCCGTACAGCTGATCTCTGCACAGAGCAGCAGAGGCTGCCAGGGCCCCCGAGATCTCCTGTAGCCCTTGTACGTTCCCGGCGCTGGGCAGACGTGAGGCTATTAGCGACCCTGCCCTTCCCAGAGACCCGACTGCTGCCCAGGCGAATGAAATCACATGGGAAATAGTGACTGGCCTGCCAGGTGGTGTGAGCGCTGCCCAGTGCCAGCTCGAGGCCGCTGGGCTCTGACCATGCGTCTCCAGCCACACCCAGCGCAGGGCTCTGTCCCGTGTCCCTTTGTAACTGCAATCCAGACCTGGAGGCGAGATGCTTTCTCTGCGTCTCTTCCTTTCCCAGCAGAGCGGCGGGTGGAGCGGGAGCTGGGTCCTCGCTCTGGCAGGATGCCAGCTGGAGTCAGCTGGCAGCGGGAGGGCAGGGGGCTCGTCTCCGGGCACCTGGTGCTTGAACTGCAGCGCCGTGTCCAGGCAGAGCTGGGCATCATGCGCTGGGTGCAGCTGACGGCCGAGTCCTTTGGGCTTCTCTTGCACAGCCCAGCTCTGCGTGGGGCCGTGCACAGACCCTGCATTCCTGGGGCTGAGGGCTCAGAGCAGCCCGGTGAGCCAGCGCGCGTCCCTCGGGATCAGCCCTGTCCCACACACGGACTTGGCTTTGCTTTCATTTTCCACGTCTTCCCCCCCCCCGCCCCTCTGCCTGTTTGAGGAACGCAAACGCCCTGCAAGTCTCAGGCCCTTTGCTGAGATAGTTAGTGGGGCTTTAACAAAGGGAGCATTCGTTTGGATACCTACCTGGCTGCGGGCACAGGAGAGGCCTCCACGGATAAAATCTGCACCACCCCCGCCCCCAGGGGCACTTTACCAGTCAGAATGAATGCAGCTTCCCAGCCCTGCCTCAGCAGCTCCATTTTACAGATGGGGAAACTGAGGCACGGAGCAGGTCGAGGGCTCTCCTGGGAGCCTCTGGCAGAGCTCTGAACGGGGATGGGGCAGAGCTGTCTGGAAACGAAACGTGTTGCTAAGAACCCCGGCTTGCCACGGTTCCCAGTGCTGGGCGGGGGGTCTACACAGGCGATCTGTGCCTGTGCATGTGCACCGGGGGAGAGGGGAGGAATTGGTCTTTGAAACATTTAGCTGGGAAGCACCAACATTCCTCAACACATTGTCTCCCGTTGCCATGGCAGCGATAATATTATTAGACTCAACTTACGTCAATTCTGGGTCTAAGTCGTTTGGGCGGGCGGGTCAGGCCTGAGCGACGTGAAGCCGTGGGGCTCGGGCGGAAAACACACACGGGTTGTTCCAGCATTTTACCTCTCCAGGAAACTGACAGCAGTACGTGCGGGCGCAGGCCAGGGCACCGAGCCGGCTGCTCTCAGGCGCTGAGTGCGGGCGCTGGGCCGCGGTGCGGGGCTTGGCAAGGGTAACGCAGTGTTCTGCAGGGGAAGGGGGAGCTTCCGGTTTTAACTCCCCCCTATCCCTGCTGGCTGTCACCAGCTGTCTGGGGCACAGGGTCAGGGGCTTTCCCCCAGCTCGGCAGTGGTGTCCCGTCCTGTGCGCCCCCGCTGGAAATCTGCCACTTTCATGCTGCTCATGGACCTCACCCAGCCGCGCGCCAAGGGGCTCTGAGGTGGGGGGCGTTCAGTGGGCTCTGACCAGCCTGGTGCCTGCTGGCTCCCAGAGCAGCCTCTTGGCTCACCAGCTGCTCAAGGAAGGACAGAGGCAGGTGCCGGAACGGTCACAATGTCTGGACCTGGGCAGCGTCCCCAACTCCCAGAGGGCGATGGCTTGGCGGGGGGGCTGTGCCCGACGCTCCGACCGGTCTCTGCATGTTCTCTCCCCCAGACAAGCAGCATGAGGTGGAAATTCCCTCCCCCACGCCCAAGGAGAAGGAGGCGGAGAAGACAACGCGCCCCATGGCCCAGATCAGTGGCCTGAAGAAACTGACGCACAGCTCCAGCTTCATCAGCTCCAGCATCCCTCGCTTCGGGGTCAAGACGGACCAGGAAGGGCTCCTGGCCAAGGTGAGCAGGGCCCTGAGCCCACACGCTGAGGGAGGGGGAGGAATGCTTCGCCCCTCGGCCCCGTGTCCCCCTGGCTGCCCCCCCGCCCCGCCGCCAGGCCTGTGCCGCCCGCGCCCCCCCCCCCCCCGTCCCACTGCCAGACCTGTGCCGCCCGCGCCCCTCCCGTCCCACCGCCAGACCTGTGCCACCCGCGCCCCCCCCGCCCTGTCCCACCGCCAGGCCTATGCCAGCCACACACACACACCCCCCGTCCCACCGCCAGGCCTGTGCCGCCTGCGCCCCCCCGCCCCGTCCCGCCGCCAGGCCTGTGCAGCCCGCGCCCCCTGCTGATTCACTGCCGTGTGTCTCTCCCAGGAACTCGAAGATACAAACAAATGGGGTCTTGACATGTTTAAAATCACCGAGTATTCTGGCAACCGCCCGCTTACGGTCGTCATGTACAGCATCTTCCAGGTGAGTGAGCCCCAAGGGGGCTCCAAGTGGGGGCAGGGCATGGGCAGCATGGAGCAGGGGGTGGGGGGCAGCAGGGGGCAGGGGCAGGGCGGGGGTAGGGGGGGACAGGACGATGCCTTGCGCTCTAACCTGACCTCCCCGCACAGTCACTGGCCTTGCCTCTCCCGAGCTCGTCCTTGTCCGCACGACCCTCCAGGGCAGCTGTGTCTGGGGAGGTGCCAGGACAGCCGCAGGTCGGAGAAACTCCGTGGAGTTCTGAATTAAAAACGCTTTGTCCAGCCAGCGGGCGGGGGGTGGGGTGTCCCTGCCGCAGACGGAGCTGTCCCCCCGCCCTGATCCCGCTAACTCCCTCTCCGCCCCGCAGGTCCCACCCCTGAGCTCAGCCAGGCCCTGGCTGCGGCAGTGCAGGGGGAGGCGTGAGTGGAAGCCCTTGGCTAGGGGAGGGGATGGGGAGGATTTCCAGAAGCAGCCGGGCAGCAGGCGCAGTGCTGCTCCCACCATTCCCACCCCACCTCTTCCTGGGCGGGCAGGGACTGGGCATGGCTGCCGCAGCGCGTTAGCCCTGGGGTACTGGGGCTCTCTCTCCCGTGAGCTGGGGACCGACCCTGGCTCGTCCTGAAGCTGCACTGGGGTAGCGGGAAGGTCAGTGCCCTGCGCTGAGCCCGTCCCGCCCTCTCTGCTGCCCGGCAGGAGCGGGACCTGATGAAGACCTTCCGCATCCCAGCCGACACCTTCATCACCTACCTGATGACCCTGGAGGACCATTACCACGCCGACGTGGCCTATCACAACAACATCCACGCCGCAGACGTGGTCCAGTCCACGCACGTGCTGCTGTCCACGCCGGCTCTGGAGGTGAGGGGGTGGGGACAGCTCTCGGAGTCACTCCCCCACCCAGGCTCCAGACTGGGCGGCCAGTGGGGCGGCACATCGGGTCTGCCCCTGGGCTCCAGAGCTCAGTGCCCCCCAGAGCACGTCTCCCTGCAGCCTGGGCTAGGTCTGCACCATGTCACAAGCCACCCATCCCCAGGGAGGTGTGTCCATCCTTCAATTAAAGAGCCATCTTTGCATAGGAATCATAGAATCAAAGAACTGGAAGGGACCTCGAGAGGTCGTCTAGTCCAGTCCCCTGCAGTCAAAGCAGGACGAAGTATTATCTAGACCGTCCCTGACATGTGTTTGTCCAACCTGCTCTTAAAAATCCCCAATGACGGAGATTCCACAACCTCCCTAGGCCATTTATTCCAGTGCCTAACCACCCTGATAGTTAGGAAGTTTTTCCTAATGTCCAACCTAAACCGCCCTTGCTGCAATTTAAACCCATTGCTTCTTGTCCTGTCCTCAGAGATTATCGAGAACAATTTACCTCCCTCCTCCTCGTCACAACCTTTGACATACTTGAAAACTGTTCTCATGTCCCCTCTCAGTCCCCTCGTGCAGCCCAGTTTCCTGGAGTTTTGGGTGGGCCCTGAAGGCAGGTCGCACTGTCTGGCTGGGACAGATGGCCGCAGGGAAGGAGGGACGTGGGGCAGGGGTAGGAGTTACACTTCCTCCTCCCCGACGTTGTCCAGCAGATGCCGGGTCTCCCCACAGTCCCATCCTGGACCTGTTTGCACTAGGAACCCAGCTGGGGGATGCCTCCCGCCTGGAGCGTGTGGGGAATACCCCGACTGTCCCTCGCCCCAGCTCGCTGCCCGAGACATGCAGGCAGCCCGGTCCGCGGGCGCCTCCAGCCGCAGTTAACCAGAGCTAAGGGGCTTGCTCCCAGTGGGCTGTGGTGACGTACACCTCTGGCTCGCCCAGCGTGCAAACCCACGTGTTCGGTGTATCCGTCGCCCTGCGGAGCGGCTTTCTTTCCGTTCTGACTCCCTGTCCCTCGGTTCCAGGCTGTGTTCACGGACCTGGAGGTCATGGCTGCCATCTTCGCCAGCGCCATCCATGACGTTGACCACCCAGGCGTGTCAAACCAGTTCCTGATCAACACCAGTGAGTTCAGCTCCCCCAGGAACCCGCCAGCCCCAGGCCGGTCCTGGGAGCCGCGTGTGTCATAGGGCTGGCTGCCCCAGGCCACTGGGATGAGACACTGGCCAGGTGGAGGAGCCCTTGCAAAGGCCTGGCACTCCCAGGGTTAATGCCACTGCCAGCCTCCTCTGACCAAACCCAGGGCTCCAGCAGCGGTACGGGGGCCCTGTGCCACGTGGCCCAGCTCCGTGAGGTCCCTGTGCTGGGCGCGGTGGGTCTGAACCCCGGTGTAGCCATGGGTATTGGGAGCCTACGTGCGGTTCTTCTGCAAACAGTGGCGGTGCAGACACGCTCATTCAAGGGCGGGCCGTGCCCCCCGGACGGCTTCTGCACTTGGTATCGACGTGGCCCCGGGTATCACATGAGGTGCCCCGGACATGGCTGGGGCCAATCATTTCCCAGTGCAGGCCCCTTTGCAGCAGGGGTCCCACCGGGAGCCGCCGGCAGCCGCATGGACGGGCTGGCAGCCGGGAGCCCGCGTCGGCCTCTCGCGCTAACCCCGCCTGTCTCTGCAGACTCGGAGCTGGCTCTGATGTACAACGACGTCTCTGTCCTGGAGAATCACCACTTGGCCGTGGGCTTCAAGCTGCTCCAGGAGGAAAACTGCGACATCTTCCAGCAGCTCAGCAAGAAGCAGCGGCAGTCGCTCCGCAAGATGGCCATCGACATGGTGAGGGGGCCAGGGCCTGCTCGGTGCTCATGAGACGCAGGATTGACCCCGACTCCATGGGGGTCAGGCCTAGGTACTCCCCAAGGTCAGCCCCCAACGCTTGCATGGAGTGACGGCCTGACAGTAACGGGCCCCCGTTGACTGACCTGACACCTGTCTGCCCTCGTGCCCTTGGTGCGTTGCTATTGCAGAGCAAGGGCCCCGATGCAGCTGGCTCTGGGGTCTCTCACGCACATGCACCCGCCGCTCCCAGCGGGGCTTGGCAGAGTCAGGGTCAATGATTCACGGACTCTGGTGGCCCGGAGGGAGCTGGACACGCTGTTCCCTTCACTCCGAACAGGACCTGGCTGCTCTGGGCATGGCTGATCTTGGTCTCCATCCTGTGCTGTGACATCCCTGGAGTGGGAGAGTCACAGCCTGCGAGGTTGTCATGGAGTCCCCGGGCGATGCTCTGGAACTGCTCCCCACAAAGCCAGGCAGGACTTTGGGGAGCCTCCTCTCCCTCGGAGCAGATTGTCTTCAGGGCAAGAAGCTCACACGGCTTCACCTCCTGGGTCTCTCCTGGGAGCATTCAGCATATGCCCCTCCGTGTGCTTCCCACAGCGAGTCTGCCCAGGCGGGGTCCTGGGGAAGCCAGAGGGCCCTGCACCCTCACTTCGCAGTCAGACATGACTCTCAGCCAGCCAGTAAAACAGAGGTTTATTAGATGACAGGAACACGGTCTAAAACAGAGCTTGTAGGTACAGAGAACAGGACCCCTCCGCCGGGTCCATTCTGGGGCCCAGCGAGCCAGACAACCCCATCTGCCCTCCCTTCCCATCCCCAGCCAGCTCCAAACTGAAACCCCCTCCAGCCCCTCCTTTCTGGCCTTTGTCTCTTTCCCAGGCCAGGAGGTCACCTGATCTCTTTGTTCACCTTTAGCTATCCCCTTGCAGGGGGGAAGGGCCCTGGCCATTTGTTGCTAGGAGCCAGATTGTCAGCCATTTATGCACACTGGAGACTTAAGAAATGCATAGGGGAAACTGAGGCACCCACACAGTATTCACAGGAAACATTAAGAACAGTCCCACTTCATCACAGAGGTCCTCTCTAGCTGCCCCCGCGCCAGCCAGCCTGGGATTGTTCCCCACCCCGGGCACCAGTGATCGGACTGGCCCAGGAGGCACAAGAGACCTGCACTCGGTTCCACGGAGGTGGCTGCTGGAGCCAGGGTGCTGGGGGAGTGGAGGGACAGGCTGCCTGGTTTGCTGAGCGTGGGGCTGGGCTGCTCGGCTGGACACAGGCTAATGGGTGCCCTCTCCTCCATGCAGGTGCTGGCAACGGACATGTCCAAACACATGAACCTGCTGGCAGATCTGAAGACGATGGTGGAGACCAAGAAGGTGACCAGTCTGGGAGTCCTGCTGCTGGATAACTACTCGGACCGAATCCAGGTGAGAGCGAGGGGCTCTGGGACCCCGACCCCATGCAATGGGGCAGCTCAGCACTGCCGGCCCCAGCCCTTCCTCCTTACTGCTTCACCCATCGGCCGGAATGGCTCATGTAGGTGGGTCTCCGGCCTGTGATGAGACAGTGACACTCCTTGGCGGAGACATTCCTCGCTGCTGCCCCCTCTGCCCTTCTGAACCCGAGACAGATCCCAACCACCCCCCTCCTCCGGCCCCACCACAGCGCTCAGAGCTCCAGCCCCAGGTCTGGCTCCAGGCTGGGCTGCTCTGGTGCTGTCCTTGCAGGGGGATATTGAACGAATGCCCAGCCAGGGCCCTGCCCCCTCCGCTTTGGGCATCTCGTGCAGACATTGCCAGGTCCCAGTGCAGCGCTGCCCCCGAGGGACGGGCCCTGGGAGTGGGGCTGGCCAGGGCAGCCAGGCATCAGGGAGGCAGACGGGCTCTTTGCAAAGCTGTGACTGTCCTTCCCCCCAGGTCCTGCAGAACATGGTTCACTGCGCTGACCTCAGCAACCCCACCAAGCCCCTGGAGCTGTACCGCCAGTGGACGGACCGGATCATGGTGGAGTTCTTCCACCAGGGGGACCGGGAGCGGGAGAAGGGCATGGAGATCAGCCCCATGTGCGACAAGCTCAGCGCCTCCGTGGAGAAGTCCCAGGTGGGGCCGGGGCTGGGCTGGACGCAGCTCGGGGTGCAGGGGCTAGCGAGGTGCCGTGGAGCACAGCGGGAGGGAGGGAGGGAGGGATGTGGCTCTGGGAGGAGGCTTCTCTGGGGGCCCTCTGCGCCCACCGGAGCCTGGGGAACCATCACCGAGAAGAGGGCAGGGGCTCTTGGGCCAACCCCTCTGCTGCCACCCCACTGCAGTCGCCAGTGGGCAGGATCCTGCCGCGGCCCCGTCCACCCGGCACGTTGGCTCCGAGGCAGCGTCCGGGCTCTCGTGGAAGGATCCGAGCGGGGAGAGGCAGCCTGGGCGCGACCCCTGGGGGCCCATGGGCCCGCCCGTCAGGTCCTTTGGAGTTGCCCATGGGCCCGCCTGTCAGCAGCCTCTGGAAGTCGGCAGGTCCCGGGGCAGGTCCCCACGGGGTCAGAATTGGACGGGGGAAGCTGATGTAGATGCTGGGCCTGACTGCAGGACTCCCCGGGGGCAGGGATGCTGCCCCCGTGGGGACGTGCCTGGACCTGCCCGTAACCCCCAGCTCTGCTTTTTCTCACAGGTGGGCTTCATCGACTACATCGCTCACCCGCTGTGGGAGACGTGGGCCGACCTGGTGCACCCCGACGCCCAGGAGATCCTGGACACGCTGGAGGACAACCGGGAGTGGTACCAGAGCATGATCCCGCACAGCCCCTCGCCGCCCGAGGAGCAGGACCCCGAGAAGGGCGGTGGGGTGGAGAAGTTCCAGTTCCAGCTGACCCTGGAGGAGGAGGGCGAGTCGGACACTGAGCCAGAGGAGGCCGAGAGCCCGCTGGAGGAGGACAACAGTGGCAGCGACTCCAAGATGCTGGCCACGGACGACTCGGAGTCGCCGGAGCTCGAGCGCCTGTCCCCTGGCTCAGTTGGCCGGGACTCTCCACCCTCCGCGCCCAGCGGCCCGCTCAGGAACACGCTGGTCAAGCAGAAGGAGGCCTTGCACTTTGACAACAGGAGGGCTCTGGAGAGGACGCTCTCGCAGCCCGACGGCGGCACCTTGGAGCTGGGCCGCAGGGGGAGCCTGGAGGCCAAGGAGCTGGCCCTGGACACAGAGGGGAACCTCACGTTTCTGCCACTGGGGACGTAACGGGCAGGGCCCGCTGTGCCCATTGGTTGGGTCTGGGAGCCACCTGGAGACTGGGCACCGCAGGGTCGTTAATAAAGAGAGCGAGATTGGGGCATGGAGCACATGAGCTCTGTGGGCCCCCACCCTCCCGTAGCACCCACTGGGGACTGAGATCAGGACCCTCCGGAGGGAGCAGGCAGCAGCTGGCCAGGCGGGCCCGGACTGGAATCGTCAAGCTGCTGTGTGCCCTCGAGTGATGACCGGGCCCACGGCGTGGGAATGGCTCTGTACCGGAGCAGGTCCCCGGACGCCCGGGGCGGGTCTGTGCGCTGCCGCTGGGCTCGGACCGGGCTGCGGCCGCAGCATTGTCGTGTGTGTCTTGCCTCACTATCCTCGGTCTCACCCTGTGCCCTACGTCCCCGCGCCTGCCAGCCAGGGCCCGACCCGGACCCGGATGGGCAGAAGGGCTGGGAGCTGCCGGGAGGGCAGACAGGCCACGCAGACCCATGAGCATCCCTGCTGCTCACAGCTAAGCACTGTGTCCCCTTCAGGCTGCAGCTCTGGGCTCCTGAGAGGGGAGCGTGTTCCCTGGTACCCCTGGACCATGCCCCCTCGGACCCTGGCCCCCTCCCCCTCCCACCCTGCCGGGATGCACTGCCTCTCCTCCCGGGGCAGCCAGGCCTTTGATCCACACACACATCGGGGCGGTGCCAACCCAGGGGCCCAGCTAAGCCCCTAGCAGCATCCCTGCCTTGAGCTCCTTAGCAGCCAGTCTGCAGGGTCCTGCCTGTTAGCGGCTCATCAGCCCCCTCCGTGAAGCCCTGCCCACCTTGCGGAAGGGGATGTGGGGCGGGGACCCCCCTCCAGGAGGTGGGGCTTTGCCCCCACGTTCCAGCTCCAAGCACTCCGCCCCGTGGCTGCAGGGGCTGGAGCGCTGGGTGCATGCAGGCCGCAGCTGGGATTTCCTCACAGGGGGACAGTCACATCATCTCCCCGGGAGCTCGGAGCCGGCCGGGCACTCAGCTGCTGTGACCTGGCGCAGCTCCTTGGTACCCAGCAGAGCTGCTGGTCTCAGGCCCTGTGAGTAACAGAGTCGGGAAGGAACCGTCCCGTGTCACCGGGCGCAGGCCCCTCTCCCACCGGCCGCCCCGAGGGCTCTGTCCATGGAGGCAACTCCCCGTCGAAGGGCTCCCACCCCCTGCGGCTGGGCCTGGGAGCCATAGGGGAAGGGGAAGAAGCTGTCTGGGTCTCAGGCACCTTTATCCGGGCTCACGGTGCCCACGCCAGGAGCTGTGCTGCTCCAGCGACCTTCCCCGCCTCTCCCTGCCCAGCTGTGCGGGTCCCAATGAAGCCAGCAGGAGGCATGGCTGGTAATGGGAGGTTTTATGGAAGGCCCCGGGTGGCAGAGGGTCTCTGTATTTACAGGAGCTGTCACAGAAAAGTGTCTAGTGCTGCCCGTCAGGGTCGCCCCGTTCTCACGCGTTGTCCTGCGCTGGATACACGGGACCTAGACCACGCACGTACTTTATACTTTGGTGTGCTGCTGTGAATCTCCATTGCCTCTAATTTATGCAACTAAACGAACTGGCTGGTCCCCCTCGGCGGGGGGACGGTCAGTGCAGGGGCCGGGCACTGACATACCCCCTGCTTCCCTGACGCCAAACAGCCCTTTGCCGGCAGACACTGCAGAATATGAACCAAAAGGGGAGATGCGTAAAACGCCGCTTTAAACGTTTCCCATCACAAAGCAGCAATGGCTCCCCAATGCAACAGCACCCCGGCTGTGGTGGGGGCTGGGAGACCCTGGAGCACTGCAGGGGGGGGGGGGGGGGGGGGGGGGGGGGGGGGGGGGGGGGGG